TTGTAATGTTGGGGGAGCTTTCCACCAAGGTCCTTTTATATCTTGATTTCTGTCTGCTGGAGTTGGATAAAACACCTCATCATCAGCAAGTTCCTTGGCCCTTGCAGATGCTCTTGTTACAGTGAATTTAGATTGTGAAAAGGAAGCTACAGTTAAAGCTGTGCCAGTTGTATACTGCCTGATGTCACTGCTTCTTGCCAAGCAGAGGACTCTAATTAGAAACATTTTTTGCCAGATTTTTTATTGCTTTTGCCCCCCACAGTTATCTGTACTGCTCACCATATATTGATGCACAGCAAGTGAAAAGGCCCCTCTGCAGACTTAGATTTGAGATAATTAAAAACAAAACAAAACCCCAACCACAAGAAAAGCTGTGTCAATATGAAGTGCCCTGGAGAGGACTCAGGAAGGTGAATAACATTGTTATCCACTTTATGTTTGAAGCCTTTTGGGTCAATTGTGCAATGTGTAAATGCAGTTCTGCAATGTGCAAGTCCAGCAGAAAAAGGTTGATCATCTCTGCCATAACCATGGCAGCGGCAGCCTCTGTTGGCACCTTTGTGTCCGAGCAGTGGCTTCGAGCCCCAGGTTCCCAAGGTGACAGAAGAATTTCTTTGAAGCTTCTCCTTTGAGCCATTTTGTTAACGCTGCTGCTTTGCTCCTGCTGCTCTTCCAAAGCGATTCTGAGCCTCACAAACAATGGCAGGAATCACAAGGAAGAGGAATTGAAGATAACCTCAGGTCACTGTGGATGTCTTGCTGTGTCTGGGACTTCTTCAGGTCAATGTGATTCCAGCACACACTTGTGTGGTGTAGAGGCTGATGTGTGTAGAGAACCTTCTGATCCCAGTGGGACTGCTTGTGTGCAGAAGTCTTTGGTCCCCACCCTGCAATGAGCCTCTGAAGTGCATTTAACTTCAGCAAAATCTACACCCTTGTGTTGTACAAGATGGAACCTTCTTCAATGGGTCCCTCCTCTTCTCCCTGCAGCTTAATCTGGACAGACAGTTTTGGTTTGCTTTAATTAGAATTCAGATCTGTGCAAACACAAGCAGGGAAAAGAATATGTGCTTTGTTTTGTTTTGTTTTTTTTTAATTTGGTGGTGGTTGGTGATCCTCATTCAAAAATAAATCCTGGGACCTTTGTCTTTCTAATTAGTGCCTTAAATAACCAGGAGGCTGCGCTGGGATCAAGATAGTGCTGGGGCAGGCAGACACAGGGAATTAGGCTCTAACCTAAGTTGTCTGCTGAAGACCACAAGTAAGCAAGGCCAGCAGAGCCAGTAAAATCTAAGAGCTTCTTAGCATGAGGAGCGGTAGGTGTGGCAGAGCTGGCCTTGCATGGTCTGGCTGGCAGGTATGCTGCTCCTCTGGGCAGAACCAAGCTAAGGCTTTGCACAGGGGACAGAAAACTAGAGGGGGCAGCCCATGGGTTAGCAGTGTGTCCGTGTATGGAAGATGAAAACCTGAAAAACTGAAACAGGTGCAGGAGGGGAGGCTTAATTACTAACTGGAATATTCTTTGAACATTGCAGTGGCTTCAGAAGTGTTTGAGGATGATAATGGCAGCAGCTTTGTATCTGAAGAAGATTCAGAAACTCAGTCAGTATCCAGCTTCAGCTCTGGTCCTACGAGTCCCTGTGAGGTGCCCACTCAGTTCCCTCCTGCAACACGACCTGGAAGCCTGGATCTGCCCAGCCCGGTCTCCCTCTCTGAATTTGGGATGATCTTCCCTGTCCTGGGCCCCCGGAGCGAATGCAGTGGAGCCTCCTCCCCTGAATGTGAAGCTGAAAGAGGTATGCACAGCTGGATACGCCCTGGGCCAGTGCTTTTCAGCTTTATAAAGGGAGCAGGAAAACCTTCCCAGCCTCCCTAGGCATATGCCAGGGAATGCTCTGCGTTGCTGGCCACTTCTTTGGGGAAGGCCCTATGTCTCAAAGTTAACAACAATGTTTATAACATTAATTATGGTTCTCCTGGCTGCGAACTTTCCCCAGTTTTGTCTTAGTGCAGGGGTTTGAGATTTCATCAGTGGGATTCTCATGGTACATTTATTTGGAGGAAAACTTGAATTTATTTATTTAAGTTACTGCCCTGCATTATTTGAAATTTTGATTGATTTGATGATTTTGAAAATCTTGCATTCCAGGGGGGGAAAAAAACCTCCACAAAAAATAACATGCCAGAAGGAGCTTCTTGCAGGCTCTGCCAGCCTTGGCTGACTAATTCAGACTAGAGGATTACCACTGCCCTTGTCTGCTCCATCCTAAGGCTGTTCTCACTAATTTGCTGATGCAGTGCACAAGACGAGCACGGCTTGGAAGGCCAACTTGGTTTTGTTAAAGCGTCTTGCTCCCGCTCCTGTAATTTCTGTGTGCTTTGGCAAAGGAAGCTGCAGAGGCACCTGCTTGAAGCTTAGCTTGCAGAATGAAATCCGGGTTTAACGTCCAGTCTAATCCTTTCTTTGCAGGGGATAGGGCAGAAGGGGCTGAGAACAAGACAAGCGACAGAGTGAACAAGAACAGGAGCAGCATCAGGAGCAGCTCCACTGAAGGGCTGGCTCTGGATAACCGAATGAAGCAGCTCTCCCTTCAGTGCATGAAAATCAAAGAGGGAATCTGCGCGGGCAGGAAAGCTGCCCAGATTGGCTGAGGCCTTCTCGTGCCCCGTCCTGAATAATGGGAATCTAAATATTTATACATGAACTTCTAAGTGTTTGAAGAACGTTGTGCCAATAATATATGCCAAATCTTAAGCGTTTACTCTGAGAATTTAAAAATGCACTAAGAAGTTTAATTGATGTGGAGGGCTGAAGTTTTTACTCAGTAAATCCTTTGTAGGCCGGACGAGTTATCAAATGTTTAAGCTGTGCTCATATTTCACAGACTTTGTAAATTGTTTTGTAGCAGCCTGGCTGAAGCAATAACTAGTAATGTTCCCGTGTAAATTCATGCCAGTCGGGGGTTTGAAATTCAAGCCAGACTTTTGCAGAGAGCGGTTTGGCTTCGGTTTTATAGAATGAAATGCTCTTTAGATACAACCAATCTCTTGAGTACAAGTGGCATAATCTTTGAACATCTGTATTGGTCTGTATTATGCTGAAACTGTAGAAATATTTTGTATACAGGAAAGCTGTTGCATGTGTGGGGTCTGAAAGCCTTCACTCTTCCCTTGGTGCTCACAGAAAGGATAAAACGAGTCATGCCTCTAAAAGCCTATAAAACAGATGGATGTCAGGAAGGGGATGGTAATGCCCAGCAGTGGGAGGCCCTTTCTAGACACCTTCCTGAGTCTGGCTTGGACTCTGCAGGTGATTCCAGTGACCAAAAAGAGTTGATTGGCCCCTTGCCCTTCTGCTTCCCTGAGAAGTGAAGTATTATTTTTCAGCACTTTAAGTGTTTTTTGTTTTGTTTTTTTCCCTCAAAAATGGGAGTCATAGATGTTTTCAGGACGATTATGATAAGGGGTTTGCCCTTGAAATATGCATGAAGAAAAGGAATTGCCAGTGTAGATTGACAATGTGTTCTTAAGCTTCTCTGTAGGTTGTACTGTGTGGGGGTTTATAACTGTTAAAGGGACTTGGGATTTTAGTATGCCCTAGACAAAGTGTTCAATAAAACTAGAAAGGGCACGGGGCATGTTTTGCCAGCAGCTGTTAGGCAGTAGTAGTGTCTGATAATTATGCTAATAAGTGGTAGTAAAAATCCTAGGACTCTTCAGTTTTGGTGACTAAGCATTTCTGAAAGCACCATTTTATCTAAAATGTCAGTTTCTATTGTTAATTTGATGGGAATCTTAGTATTGCCCAAAGTATTTTCTATTCTATGTTTTTGCAGTCCTGTTGTATTTCATCCCTGCCACAGCTTGTGTATCTATTCTCAAAGTTAATGTAAAATTCTTCACACTACAGTAAACATTTTTGTTTTCCACCTTTTGAGTCTGTGCAAGTGAAGTTTCTCTCAAGTGCTGGGAACCAAATCTTCTCCCACAGCAAGTTGAGCCTCCAACTATCCACTTCCAGCTGGAGACTGCAGGCTGAGCTCACATATGTTAGAATCCATTGCAGTACGTGGGCACCTCTTTCCAGCTTTCCAAATCCCTGCATATGTGGCTCACTTTTTATTCTGAACTGTGCCACAGGACCAGAGCTTTAGTCAAGTTCTCCAAAACCCCCTTAGTGTGCAGAAGGAGGAGAGGTCTTCTGTTACTTAAGACCTCTGTACCTAATGATGCTGAAATTGGCTGTGCAGAATTGGAGGCAAAGAATCCTATTTTCATTAAAAATTAGCTTCCTCACATGATGGGTGTTAAGCTGTAACTGTTTAGACATTTATATGTTTACATCTTCTGAAGACCTTAAGGCTGAAACCTTCTACTGCCAGCAGTTCCCAGGCCCAGAAAATGCTCAGGAAAGAAATCTGTAGTTCCAAGTTCTGATGTAACCATTACTTGGGAAAAAGCTGGGATAGACTGTATTAAATATGAAAAGCAGTACAGGAGTGCCACACTGTATTAAGTGTTTTTACTTAAACTTTCATAGTTGAGCTATTGTCTGTGCTGCATTCTGTTAGAAAAACTAGCCAGAGGTCTTTGTGGTTGAATCTCACTTTTGCAGACCTCCCCAGTCAACACCTGATACATTTCCCTGGGTTCTCTGGATGGTTGTTTTGGTAGTGATTTTTTTTGTCCTTTTTTTTTTTTTTTTTTTTTTAACCTCCCTTGTAATTAAATTTCTTCTCATCTGCCTGGAAACCCAAACTTCCCACAGCTGGGTGCAATGAATTAATATTGTGGGTGTGCTGCCCTGCGTATGTCCTGATTGGGTAAAACCATTGATCTGCAAGTTTGAAAGGGTGTGGAACCCACTCTGCCCTTCCTTTTCTACCACCCTGCTGCAAGATTTGCTGGAAGATCATGGTGCAGGCCTTCCTCCTTTGGGGTGAGCCATGGATTTGGCAGGTAAATCACCCTTCAAACATGCAAGCAAACAGGCAGAACTGTGTATCTAATAAATTAATGGAAAACTCTTTATTTCATACTTCATAAAAGCCATAATTATAAATATGACAGACTTAAATGAACATACATTGCTATGGAGTACAAGCAAATGAACAAGCTTTCTCCAGTTACTTTTTAGTTAAGCTCTTCATGGATTCTGATGTGTAGCATGATGGTAGCTGCATTCATGGGTATAAAAATAAGCCTCTGGTGTATCAAAGTATACATGATTGCTTCAGCTGCCCTGATGTGAGGATGTATAAAGCAAATGTTAACCTAGAACTTCTACTTTTCTTTGGTATTATCAAACAAGTTCTGTGTCCTTTTAGATGAAGCGATGAAAACCTCTACTGTATGTACACAAATGTAATTCTAAATAGGTGGCTCCTCAGAGGCTGCAGAGATTGTGTGGTTAAGTGCATAATGACTGTACAAAATAGTTACGTGATGTTGCAGCAGGACTGGACTCAGACTCACAGTCTGGGGCAGCTGGGCTAGAAGCTGTTGATAGCATTCATCCATGGTACTACATCTCACTGAATCTTTGAGAACTGAGGGATTGGATCAACCAAGGGCTAACCTGTATCTTCCTAACAAAACAAACAGAACAAACTATGTTCTCTGCCATGTGGCTCAAAAAATACTACACAGTACAGGGGAAAGAAAAGTTTAACTTAGTGACCTGAGGTTGTGTTAAAATAGAAGGATCAGTTCACTTTGCAGTATTTTTTCCAGACTTGTGGAAAAAATATAAAAGTATCTATTTGGCAGAAAATATGAAAGCAAATCCTAAATGCTTACATCAACATTTTTTCTTAAGAAAAAAGGGCAAGAAAACTTCATTGCAAAATAAATTTGCCAGAATCCCTCGGCTACAATTTATATGGATATTGTGTAGTACCTCTCAAATACTTCACCTGAGTGTTCTGTCCTATAGCTGAAGGGAAGTGCACAGTGATGGCATTCTAGTAGCCTATGCAGGTGCAATATTTGAATAGAATTTGCTATATATATATATATATATATATTTATATATATATAAGATTGACGCTAAGCCTAAATCCTGTGCATTAATGGGGATGAGCCCAATCCACCGACTGTTCTGAATGTGTAAGAAATATTAAGTGTATCCTGGTGGGGACAGGATCCTTTGGCCTTAATGCCTTTGCCTGGCATTAGGAAAGTGAGTACATTTCTTACTTTTTAGTTCAGTGAAGTTCAGCACAGTACGGAAGCTGAGCCTTATGCTCGTTCCACGCAGCATAAGTTTTGGCACTAACTTGTGCTCAGGGGAAAAGAGAAAGAAAAACTCCTTCCTGCCGAGTGGAAACCAGCTACTGAAGAACAACAACAGATTTTCCTGTAGGCAAGTCTACCAGCTTGATCTCAAACAGCAGAGAGTGTGCAAGAACTTGGTGCTGAAAGCCGGCACTTCTGGCATCTGTTTTTTGTACTGTCAGAAAGATATTCAGTTGAGACTTCCTCACTACCTCTGATTTTAGAGGTGATAAGATACGTGGAGGACTCCACTGCTATTCTGGTTTAGCCTCAGCAAAAAACTTAACAGAAGCCTGTAGGGAAAATGGGAGTTGAATGAAATTTTCATATTTTAGGGATGAAGCAGTCCTTGGCACATACTCCAAAAGCAAAGCATAACCACAAAGAACCTAATCTGTTTTTTTCTCAGCTTGTGCCCAGGCTGTTCCCTCTGTTGATTTATTGCAATAATCATCAGAAACTTCCCTGCAAAAGAAGGTAAGTCACTCTGTGACAAACTTGTCACAAATTCCCTAGCCCAGATGGTCTCAGAGAACTGCAGTCAGCAAGGTGTGTGTTTCCCAAGACAGGAGCTATCACTGCCCTTTCAGCACCACACGCTTGTTAAGCAGCTGTCTGACAAAGCAAATGAAACAAAAGGTTCTCCTACTTTCTGGAGAGGACTTATAGCAGATTTCTGTTGGAATAATTTTAGCCCACAGATATTTCTGTGGGCTACTGTAGAATGTGTGTTCAGTTTCCCAATGGCCAAGTGACACTTGGAATCTAAAGCAAGATTTAAGTGCTAACTTTTTGCTTGAAAACTACCAAACCAGTGTGAATGGCAGAAAAAATTCCTATGGCTGTTTTTAAAATACCCTTTCCCCCAATGGTGAAATATTGTAAATTTTGTGAAAATTACAAAGTTTAATCCATTTCAGGATTTGTGAGGCAGTTGGCATTAAATAAAAACTTACCATGAATCCTCTTCAGATACAATGTATGCAGATCTAGAGGAAGAGCAAGTAGAGGAGGGACACTTCGAAAAAAGTAACTTGTTCTGCATTAATCCCACCTCCACTATTTTCTTAAGAACTCTGACCCTGCTTCTATTGATGAGAGGGGCTGTGTGCTCAGTTCCCTCACTGGCTTCAACTTACAAGGAAAAAGGTATGTTTTCAAAGATGTCTTGCATAATGGAAGCAGCAAGTGCATTCCTTGCAGCTGTGGTGTATTGGGGGAGAGGTTTAAATGATCCTTTCCTACATGACGTATACTTGCAAAAGTGATGAAAAGAAAACATTTCTTTGCTGAGTTGCTGATGGTGTTCCCTATCTCCTTGCACCAGCAACTGAGACTACCCTCAGTAGATAAAGTGAATCTTACAGGGGATCTTCAAAGGAAAACCTTTCATAGCTGCTCGAGGAAGGCTGTGCTGCACTGCCTGGACACTGCTGCTGGATAACCTCCTGGCCTTCCTGCTCATCAGGATCAACCTAGGTCTAGCAGATGGCAGGAAGAAAGCCACAGAACCTCATACTCTATTAGGTACTAAAGTCAATTGCTTTACTTTTAGAAATAGCTAAAGCTGGAACCTTCCTTTTCCTTTACTCCTATATACATATTCCAGATAAGATGACACATGGAATACTATTGGCTCAGCAGTAGTACATTTACATTTAGATGTGAGAACCAGTTCCATGCTGAAACATTATAGATAGCAGCACAAACATGTAATAAAAGCTATTTGGTCCTGAGACTGAATAAGCAGAATACACAAGAATATTTTTTTTCTTACATGTTTACTTTTAAGAATAGAATCTTTAGCCCATATACCCTGTATGTTGGGAGGAGGGAATTTCAATGTTAGTTTTTCTCATAACTCACTAGACTTTGATTCAAAGTGTGGAAAAATTGAAATAAATCGAGTTCTGCTGGTTCATTTGAATATATGCATTTTAGCCTATTCCCAAGCCTGTTGAACAGTGCTCACTCCTGGACCATAGCAGCAAACCCACAGCTAAGTGCCCGCCACAATTAACTGACAATCCATGATTCTATGCTTTTGGCTATAACTCAGGATGTAATTTTCTTTTGTGCATGTGTAGTAAAGGTTCTTCACCTGTTCTTAGGCTGTTGGATAGATCAACTCTATCTCCTTAAACAGCACTGCACAGTTCTGTCTCCTCACTGCAGCTGTGACACCTTAAGAGGAGTAGTACTGTTAAAATCTAAGAAAAAGGGGCCCTCTTGTTGAGGCAGGAATGTGGTGGGGATAATGTTGTAAACTCCAGCAAATGTGTTCTCCACCTCCAAGTAGCAAAATCCACACCTATGATAAAGAAAACTACCTGTTAGAAATGAGATCTAAAGCATGTTTCAAACCTCTATGCAGACTTCATTAAGTGTTACCTGTAGTCACCACTGCTTTTTTTCTGAAAGCCATAGGACCCAGGATCTCCCACTGTTGAGACGGTGACAAGTTCAAAACCAACACTGTATTGCCTGCAAGTGACATGACAGACTTTCTTTAGTTATTTGTGCTCTCAAGCAGAATTCAAATAGTTAAGCTTGTGACACACTCCTGTGCCACATGGCAGAGATCCTGTGTGATCAGATTGCTATCAGAGGACTTGGTGTCAGTGATCCCAGTATAATTTCTCATGTTGCAATACAACTTGGGACACTTTGTCTGTTCCTGTTAATGCATGTGACAGGCACCGCTGCCCCTGTCCTTCAAACTACCCAAATACGATGTCCAAATGCAGGAAAAAATGCAAAGAACTGTTCAATTAATGGAATCATGCAGCCACACCTCTGCCTTCATCTTCATTTCATGAGAGGAGTTTCCTCAAAGAGGGGAGGAGAGATAGAAAAGTTCTGCCATTTTGTGGGACTCACTGTAAAGATTTGCACAGGATAAACACTTGACTGCAGGTCAGGAGATGTTGCAATTCAGAAGTGCTGAATACTGGTATTTTGAGGTAATCATTAATTGTGCCAAAGCAATTTGGCCTGCATGAGTGTACTTTTTTAGGACATTGTCATCCAGCACTTCTTCTGGCCTGCTAGTGGCAGAGTAAATGCACATGCAGAGGTGTTTGCGAGCTGTAAGGGTTTAATCTTGCATATTAGCTCTACTGCAAAGTAAAACGAATTATGATCATAATAGTTTTAAGAGGAAGCCCTTTATACCTTCTTCCCTAACTCTGCTCAGACTCCAAAACTAAAGAGAAAGGAAGGCTGCTGCTTTCCTTATAGGTCAAGAATTTCCCTCAGTAGTTAATGTGTAGATTTAAAACACTATTGATGGTAAAGATAGAAACATAAATAGTACTAAATCTGAGTCAACTCCCACACCTTGTCTTCTGGATTTTCCATGAGCTTCCCACCCTCCCAGTGGATACCAACAAAGCTTTATATTTGGCATGCAATGCATATTGATGCACAATTATTTTCTACAAACCTTGGCCCCCGTAGTTCAATTAGTAATGGTCCATTCTTGTCTAGCTGGAATTGATAAATGGGGTTATTTCTGTAAGTGTCTCTGAAGTTTCCACATCCTCCAGCACTGTGACCTTTCCACTGTCCATTAACCTGAAAGAAGTCAAAAGTACAGAAAACAAATCCTGAGGATTTGTATTGCTTATATACATACACAAACAAGACTAGAAGGTCCTCTCATCTCACTTTATAGGTTACTGACTTTAGTGACCTCTCCTGATTTTTAAAGTGAAATGAAAGGTGGTGTTAAGCATTCACAAAGTCTTGTGCAGGTCCCCATCGCTCCTCAATCAAAGCCTTAAATCCCTGAGACGTAGTGTGTTTTTCCAGCCTACATGAAACAAGCACTGAGTGACTGTTTCTGACTGTGACAACTGCAGCTAACAGAAGACCCACATTCCCATCTCTCCCACGCCTACTAGACTACACAGATTTTTTTTGTCCTCAGACACACCTCTGTTGGGTTAAATGAGAAACAGCAGTGATACAGGCAGGACACTAACAGTGTTATAACCTTTTCCTCTAAAGATCTCTGCCTCCAGCCCTGTCCATCACCTCCATGCACTCTAAGAACCAGCACTGCAGTGACAAGATAACTATGTTCTGCAAGGATAAGACACACAAGAGGAAAAATGCTGCTCAGACTTTGAGAAGCAGGCCATCTGTTTCCAAGTTCCTCTTGCTAGTCATTAAACGGAAAGGTTAGACTCGTAAGACATGCCAGGCATTCCCACAGATTTATAGCTGAGATTCCTCTCTCCTATTACTTCTCTCTTGTCTCCGTCAAATCAGAAAGGGGCAGCATTTTCTCTTGTGATTTAATTTCTTCACTCAGTGCCCAAACCCCTCAAACACGGTAAGGATGGAAGCAAGGGGAACTTATCCCGCCTGCCATGCTGCTACCCAAGAAACTAAAACTGCTGTGTGCTGTGGAGCTTTCTAGCCCTTTTCCACTTCTGTTACACTTCATTCCAGGAATCACATCAGGGCTTGGTGAGCTCCAGAGGTGACAACTTGACTCCAGTACAGGACATCTAACAGAACTTGCCTTTACTGCTGAACTGTGAATTAGTTCTCTGCTTGCTTTTGAGTGTGATGACTGCTAAGCAATCACCAAATGGGCATTAAATACAGGCAACTAACTTTTTGTATTCAATCCTAGAGACAGAATTGGACATGGATAGATAAAACATACCTTTTTTATTTCTTTGAATACTAGACAGAGATGTTCAAATGAACAGGAGTTTTCTATATACTTAATTCTCTTTTCAAACATATTACAACATAAAATGGACGTCCCTCCTCAAACAGGTTTTTCACCTTGAATGTGTTTTTGACCTCTTAAAGCACTTCCTCCAAGTAAGCCCAGTTTTTAATTGCTGTATAGGACAATAGTTTCTGGCAGGACCAAACAAGTCATCATGCTCTTCCCAGGCATCTCTATTCACTCACCATTCTCTAGAACAGGCTTCAAGGGACTGTTCCAGAATTAACAACTGGTATGGAATATTGTCTGAACTTGAGAGCCAAGCTGCAAGCCAGAATCTGCCCCTGACCACACAAAATAATGTAATCCTGGGCTTCAGGCACGAGTGTCCCAGAAAATGGACTGCTCCACTGTGGCTCAAACTCCCTTGTTTCTCTCTTCCTCAGTATGTTACTGTTTGGACAGAAGACTTCAGACTATAATAGGATTCCCCATGGTATGCATGGTAGGTACAGAGATAAAGTTAACAGCTGCTGGTTTATTCTTTCCTGAGAATAAAATTGCTAAAACATGAAAATACATGCAAGTTAATTTTCCCTGTGAGCTCTTGGCTATATTTATACTTCAGCTGAAGGTACAACTGCTGCTCATGTTGACAGCTGAAATATGAACAGCAGCTGGCCCCAAAACTGCCTGAGCTTCTGACTTAGTTTCAGTCAAGTTTTTCCACTCTCCCCCCTGTTCCTATACTCTCAGGGAGCATTTCTACAGGAAATGTACAATGGATTTACTTTCTTTTTATCCTGTCTGGCAATGGAAGTGCTTATTCGAACTGTTACTGACCCTTGAGGTATCTTTGCAAAATTTAGGAACATTAATGTGTTGTGATATTGCCATCCTAAGTTTGTTTCTTACGGTCTTATTACTGGTGCCTTTGGTTTGGCATTGCTGATTTTGTCCCATCATGGCAGGAGTTTTTCCAAGAAAATCATGCAATTCTCCCAAGAGGAAATGAGCAACACTTCTGGGGGGTTTTCACTCTGCACCATTACTAGCATAACCTGATTTCTGCAGAGTGATGACTTACTAGGGTAGGGGTTGTTGTTCCAAAGGCCAATCTGTTCTACAAAGGCTTTGCAGCACGTCTGCAATGGCACAGCTGCAACAACACACTCTGTGGTGGAGGTGGGGCAGTAGTATCAAAATATATTTAAAAACCTTGTATATCTTAAATATAGAAAAGCCAAACCAGCGACCTATAAAAGAAAATGTTTCTTTACCCGTTTGGAAATGGTGTAAGGTGTAGGAATCTTGGAAAAGGTGAACTTGCACAGGGAATACACCTATATTGTAAAAGATGCAGCAGGTTACACATTCATCTTAAACTTTTCAAATGGAATCATGACAAATTAAAAGAAAGCAGAATTGCTTACACAACATTATTAGATAGTTGTTCGCTACATGCCTGTATTACCCATCAGATGACCCTCTGTATTACCCATCAGATGACCCTGTGTCAAACATAAAATTCAAACTAAGGGACTGGGACTAAGACTTAGTTTTATTTAATTTTTCTTAACAACCCCTCCCTCCCAAAAAAAACCCCACAAACAAACACACACACCCCCAAAAAAAACCCAACCAACAAAAAAAGCAAAATGGAAACAAACTTTTTTTTCAGTGAAAAAAAATCTAGCATTGATCATTGTGTGACTCACCAGCTAAGAGAAAAACCCAAATCCTAAATCAAGACCTAGAGATGTCAAAAGTCTTTAAATCTTAACCAGGATCTAAAATGGCTTTATAAACACTTCATCCAGTGGTTCTGCTCCATCATTCATAACTTCCCTCCCCAAAATAGCAATATTCAGAAATACCCTTTTTATCAAATATAAAAATAAAGGACTCTTCACTGTTCAATTGTTTACCTTCATTGTGAAACAACAGCACCTACCCTGATGGTGTAATGGATGGTGTTTTGTTTCTCATACTGGGACACCACTAAGGTGAATGTATGGGAACCTGGAGAGGTCAGCTTTATCTTGGTCAGATAATGAGGACTGTTGATCCGAATACCATCAATATAAGGAGGAGGATCAGCTGAAAAAGGAAAGAATGATAATTTTTCCCTGACTAAAAAATCCATCAGCTTGGTAAACTTCTAAGATTAGTCTGAACAGACCCAAGTGCTCTGAACAGAGGAGAGCCTCAAGACTTACCCATAAAAAGGACAGTCTTAACATCAACTACTGTTTTCAAGAGAGGTATATCACACATAACAAAACACCAATTCTGTGCTTGAAAGTACAGCTTAAATCCTAAGACTTGCAAGGACTGCTTATCCATCTCCCACCAATATCACTACTCCAAGAAGACTACTGTACTTACACTGAAATTTCAAGAGAAAGATAATGAATGTTTAAGCATTCTTTGAAAATCTCTGAAGTGTCTGCTCTTTCTTCATTGGCTGGACAGTTCCAGAATGCCAGCTGCCAAAATCTTTGGCCGACTGGTAAACAATACTTCAAAACATTAGTTAATTCCTTTAACTAAATCACGCACGCTTTCTCCCCCTCTCTCTTCAAATTCTGTGATCATTACACAGATGCAGTTGCATCCCAATACCAATGCACATGTGGTACTTAAAAAGATCCCAAATGTTTGCTTTTACAATTAGACAGTGTAATTTGTTACTTGGCCTCTAATTGGTTCTTTCCAGACTTCTTTTAATTTCAGTGAAGCAGGACCAAGTCTAGCCAATTACTTCAATAGGTCCAGGATCAGGTCCTTTTATTTTCTTCCACAAAGCAACATGGGAGAGGGGAAAGGATTAATATAAAACAATAAGAAGCTTAGGAATGGGAAGTCTCGGCCTTGCTGCCAAAGGATTAGGTTGCTTTGTTCTCATCTTATTTTAACAGATGGTTAAAAATAATACTGCAGCTTGACCAATCTATTTCTACGGAAAAAGGTTTTAAACAAGTTTGAGCTCGTGAGATCAGAAGTTTTTAAAAGAGTTTGTGTAGCAAGACAATACACATCAATCATTCAGTTTTTGCTACTGGTCTTGCTAGGCTGTCTGTTTCAAGCACAACCGAACAATTCCCTCTACTATACAATTGTGTTTGGTTTTGCTCACTTAAGAACGTTTGCAGTGAGACACACATGTAAAATGAGCACTACTACAACTACCAAGAACACCAGAAGCAACTTGGGCAGTTGCTTCTCCTCACAGAGAAGCTCTTGTAAAAACAGATGATGATTTGGTCAGGTGTCAACAGATCTTTCCACAGAAAGACAGGTCCTAGGGGAAGTTTGGATTCTGGGAGAATTGGTCAGCAGAGTTCACTGAACAAGATCACATGTGAACAATGCAATGCTTATTAGCCATTCCAATAGAAAAAGTCACACAAATTTCTTTCTGGTGAAAAAAAGCTTTAAAATCTACTAAGGGAGTTGTTGCATGAGCTGCTACCTGAATGCAAACCTGGTTCTAAAGAGGTTCCTACCTGTAAAAGCAACAGGCCAAATCCTACTTGTTTTAGGATGCACCTTCACTAAATAATTCCAAATAATATTTTTAGCAATCTCTAACTTAATGGAAAGAATAAATAAAAATATGATCTTATTAGCTCTACCTTAAAGTTTCAGTCTATCCATTCAACCTGGGCATTACCTTTACACCCTGTGTCTCAGCCTGTGTTTCAGACCTGCTATCTCTCTTGAAATAAAGCATACTTGGCTACTTCACAGCTACAGCAAACCTCTCCTCAAGGTAAAAAGAATCTGACATATAATGACCAAGAGTAAGATTTTGATAAAATTGGAACATTTTAAACATTACATACCTGATACCTGGAAATATGCTGTTCACCTATATTTCATAAGCTTACTTAGGTAATTTACTAAGCTATGTTCATGGGACAATTAACACTGATTCTTTTCATTTTGTGGAACCTGTAGACCTTTAAATAATTTCACAAATGGGAAATAATTATGCTATCAGAGAAACTAACACAGATCATCTTCTAAGCATTAACTTCTGGCACTGAAAAATAAACAGAAAAAATAAAGAAAATGTTGCATCAAAGTAAGTGTCAGCAGGACTATGTAGACCTCTTGAGAGTGCTTATAGCATGTGTAGAATGGCCTATTCCTTCAGTGTAGACTTTAAGTAGGATCAAACAGAGCAAAACAATGATTTCAGAAGACTGACCCCTTAATGTGACATCTAGATTTAAAGCAAAAAGTGCCTTTCCACAAAATTCTGTGTGCTTCTTCATTTATTTATAGCATCAGTTTCTTGGCAATTAAAGTACACTAACCTGGATAGTAAACTTTTTTGCCATCAGTCTTGTATACAACCATCGTAATGAATTCCCGGTTGTGTGCAAAGTCATCCTATAAAAACAAAACCCACAAAAAAAAAATAAAAAATCAGAGTTGTGCAATTCTGTGAAAAATCATGAATGCTTAATCAGCATCAAGTACACCTTCTACCATCCCTTTTGATTACCACACAGTATGATCTGATATTTGTATTTATTTGGATACCCAACAGCATTCTTTTTCAAATGCTTGAAGTAAACAAACATCCACTAATTTAATTTATTCAGGCTCCAGGAGTCAAAGTTACTTCAGAACCTTTATGGTGGAATAGAATCACTTGGCTCCAATTTTACTGTTTCAATTGGAGGTACATGTACCTGCTGAATTAAAGAATTCTACATGTACACAGGCATACACACCTGAACATAGGCAGTAATATACTAATAAGAGAAAGCCATATAGAAAGATTTAGAGAAGCTCTGCAGTGCAGAACCAGCACCTTGTCAGTGATGTGCCTGCTGAGCAGGACCCAGACAGCAGCACCACCCTGTGGACACTGCACCTCCAGCTTGTACTGAGGGTTGTTGGCCAGGCTGTAGGCATCCTTCACCGGGCCCTGCTTTGCATCCCACGTACTGAAAGTGATACAGACATGTTATTAGACCAGTAAGAAACTAATCTGTGCTTTGAAACCAACTCCAAATCCTACACATACACAGATATTATCAGTAACAAGTTACCAAAGCCTAGTTTTCTACTGGAATCTGTGGCAGTGGTTACATAACACAGTCACATCAGAAGCATTATCTTTAGAACCTTGTTTTGTAAATGAGTTCATCACAATGCATGTATGATAATAAAAAATGCTAAACATAAATAGTCTGGCTGGTGACTGCAACCACACAAAGCACAGAAAAAGCCGAACCATTTAAGCAGCCTGGGCTGCACAACCATATCCATGATTGCACACACCAGTATTAAATGAAAAACACCTACACTTTTGTAACTGTAGAAATCTATCTTTCAAAAGCTTGCCAAATCTTTTCCTCCACTAATTTTTTTTTTTTCCTGAGGCAATTTTTATTTTAAAAATTGCCCTGTTTCATGCTTGGAAGGGTGTACTGCCAGAAGTGTTAAAGACCTTTGAGATGCCCTGCTGCAGAATCTGCCTGCTGCCTTTTGAAGTGTCTAGACAAGAAAAATACAGTGAAAAAAAAACCCAAAAGGTGCTGATGACTGAACACAAAGTGTGGCACACTGGAAACAGAAGTGTATACAGCTATTCCTTAGTCTCCTTGTCCCTATCACACTTGTAAAGCTGAATAGCATGTGTGGAAGGTTGCATTAACAAAGCTTCAAATTATCACTGTTGGTACTGTGCATTTTATGGCAACTGCCACTGCTAAGGCTTTTCCCTAGACAGAGGGAAGACAGTCACTGATGATGTAAGGACAGACAGACCAGTAGGTGAGCTCTGACTTTAGCATACACATTATCTCATCTTGCTACATCACCACAGTGTATTTTAGAAATAATTGGAGCACAAAAATGGAAGGAGCCTTTACAGATAAGCTCAGCAGTCACGCTGTGGATGAAGGAGCTTGTGCAGAGCTAACACGTGCAGGGACAGTGTGGAAGGAGGGGCAAAGTGCAGCCTAGTGGAGTGGAAAAATATAAAACCCCTTGCTTTCCAAAACCAAGACACAGATACACACAGTTATCTTCAAACTGGGAGACAAAACCCCTGAATGTAATAGATTTTTGGTAAGAGACAGATATCCCATTCAGAAAACAAATCAGCAGGCAAGGAAGATTATTTATTATAAATACAACTACTAAAACACAACTGGTTAAACTACCCTGATGTCAGTGAACACACCCTATAAAGACAACATATGCCACACAACTCACTTGCAAGTGGCCAGAAAAATGAATTCCAAATAATAACTAGGTCACTTAAGTTTCTGGGCACTGCTTAGAGATAGACTGCACAAAAATCTGATTTTTATTCTGACAGGGAGATGTGGGACTGAGGTCAGAATCTGGTTACACAATTACAGTTCCACAGCAACATCACAAGGGTCACTGAGCTCCACTGATGTTACAGAAGTAGTCAAAAACAAAGTCTGGGCTGAGAAAGTCAGGCTTAAAAAAACAGGGTTGGAATTCCAACCCCTAGCTGTAACCTGGAAGAATGGAAGGAAGGAAACATCACTTCAGAACACTTACTGAGATTTTGAAACAAAAATTTTATCTTTTGGACCAACCTGTGAATACATGTAGATTCTTTAAAAAGACTTGGGTTCCAACTCAAATAAATAACATCATAGTACTGGCAGAGGTCCTCCCAGGAAATCCAGAAAATGCCTAAAAAGGAAATGCTGTTATTATTTTATTAACAGATACCTTGATTTTACTTGCGTCTCAAAAGTCTCTTTCTGAGCAAATGGTACAGCTTATATAAGCCAACATTCCTGCAAAATGTAGTAGTAATGTCTGAACTGCCAAAATTGCTTCATTTAAACTTGCCCCCCGTACCAAATTAAAGCAAGAAAACACAAGCTAATATCTTCTTATTATCAGGGACTTTTTGAAGCTGTCAGAATGCTTTTCCCTTCTCAAGCACTAAGCAGAAGGTATGAGAAAATCTGCTATTTTGAGACATCATTAGGTGATTCTGACCTGATTTCCCCTTTCCTACATTTCTTAAAAACAAAACAAAACAAAAAACACAGTCAAACAGGTTCCAGAAATTCAACAACTTACATCAGCAGTCATCCAGCACAATCAAGTATTCAATCAATATGTGAGCATGCTTAAATGTATTTCTAAGATACTTCATCCAATACCTATGTCACTTGTTTTTGCACCCTAAATTTGCTCTATCTTTGCAACATTCTCATGCATTTATTCTAGTTCTCCACAGCTCACTTAATTGCAACTCCAGCCAACAACAGTGCCTGTTGTAGCAGCCTTATAAATGATGTCTCTGACACAGGCAGTTGCAGGGCTTGCAGCACTAAAGAACAGTCACAATAACTACACAGAAACAAGAAGACCAAAGTGTAAGTCCACTTTGAAGGAATAACTCCATTAGAGTAATTTCATATAAAATTTTAACAACTAGATGCTACAAATTACTTACAAAATTAATGGGTAAATAAATAACAAGCTATTATCTCATAACTGTCACAAATCCAGGGCTGCTATTTTTATGTTTGAATCAGAAGTTCTCATCAGGCATCTGCACAAGGCTTATCAATAAATGCTATAATCTAAAGGATTTGGAAGTAACGGTGTTGTAAAAACAGTGGCACAAAAGAGCTCCCTCGGGGATTTGCAGACAGCAATGAGGACACAGTGAAAAAGCAGAAACATCTTTCTGAAAGTAAAATGCACCTGTTGCAGCAGAAAGACTGATTTAAATACTGATTACAGTAAGCATGTGGATACATATTTGAAAATGCTGGAGAGGAAAAAAACCCACAAAAAGTCCATTCATGTATTAAAAAGCAGCATTACACAGTTTATTGTCAGAATGTTCTCTTTGCACAGAACTCCCACAAATTGAGACAGCACACTTAACCAAGAAGGTACTTTCTTGTCAATGAATTTGAGATATATATTTAACAGTCTAGATTACCTAAATCTCAGAAAAACCTGAAATGACAGATTTAAATACATAAATACTTCCTAAACTTTTGGGCTATTTAGTTTCTAGTATTTGTTTTACTCTCCTTGTGTGTAAGCATTCCTTTCCACCTTCCTGCAGGGGATACACCACAAAGATCTATAGTAAGTTTTAAAACCTTATTACCATTGTCTATTTTTTGAGCTGTCCTGGGATCAAAGTTCAAGTATTTTTGTAAATCTGGGGTCCAGTTTCTTGTGTCATTTTCACTGTATCGTCCCTTCCAACGTAAGTGGCTCCAGGGATTTTTTAGCTGAAGAAATCGAAGTCCCTAAAAAAAACCACACAAAGTAAAATTGTCAGTTCATCTTGTCACAGTAATTTTTACATATTGAAAGTGGTTTTTATATGGATCATGAAAACACAGAATCATCAAGTTTTCTGAAATTTCCTAGTGGAGTCCAAGACAAAAAACACATTAGCCATTAGAGAAAAAAAATCAGTAGCTACCCATCTAGGGTAAACCTAGAAACACATGCAGGTTTAAAACAGGAGTTTAAAACCACCTTCAGTTTCACTTGATACCTTATATTCTCTTATATCCAAGACTGCATATGCATGGGTTGGAACTAAACCCCACTTTTCTCCTTCCTCTTCAGACATCACCCCTGTTGCTGTTGTGATAAGGACATCTCCCTTGTGAAATCTGTTGAAAAAGAGGTGAAAAAAAAGCTTAATTAAATCTCACAAGTTGCAATCTAACATTTTCCAGACACTGCAATAGCATGTTTGTACACTGTCCATTATCAAGATCCTGTTTTATAAAAACTGGGATACAGGGGTTTTTGTCAGCAGAAATCACTCCTGAAGAAAATTTGAGAAAGTGGAACTATTTTTCTTTCAGAATTAAGTATATAGTTTAAATTAAAAAAAAATATTATTTTAATATAATTTCATATTCTCTTAAACAAAATTCAGCACTTATCAACCTGAAGCTCAGCCTGTGTCAGTTTTAAGATACTTCACAGATCCACAGCTGAGCACAAATGTGCTTCCATCACCACTTACTTGATGACTATAGATAGCAAATTATCAAGTCTGTCATAGCCCTGGGATCCTGAAGAATGAGAAATTCATGCTTCTATACTTCTGCAGCTGTTTATACTCAAGTTTAGTGTTCTGAATAGCAATTGTTAATTTTGGAACAATTACTGTTATGAAAACACACTAACATGTTTCCAGCCTACATTAAAAATGCAAGTACATACTCAGTGTCCCTAGATAAGATTACAGGATCACGGGACTATATGGATCAACACATTTTCACTCTAGCACAGATGAACAACAGCAATGCTCCAATGGCTAGATCCCATCCTAACTTCAGTCACACCTTCAAATTACAACACCAGAACATGTGAAAAATTATTGACAGCTCTGAGAGCTCCTAAGCAACTGAAAAATTCTGAAAAGCACTTCTATTGTGGATGCAGTCAACAGAATAATCCCCTTCTACTGCAGTGAAATATATAAGACACTGGCTGCACAAAACTGTTTTGAACGAAATCAAAGTACTTGGTATACTTGGCATTTATAATTTACAGCTCTTACACCATAAGCAAAATAACAGAATCATTTACTTCAGACCTTTAAGACCATCAAATCCACCTACTGTTGCTGTAGGTCTGAAAACCAGTATTGCAGTTTTGATGGACTTTTGTTGCTCCTCCAGGAGATTTACTGATGGGCCATAATCTTGTGATACAACTAGAAATACTGTATAATATCTGCTTGCTAAGGACAGCAGACATAATACAGTTCTGGGGAACTGTGTGGAAACTCAACGCACATATCCTTCTTCTTTTTAAACACTTAACTGGTATATATTATAACTGGTACCAGATATAACTGGTATATTGGTTCCAAACTACTCTTCTCTGACTCTATATTCTGTTTTCTTTATCAAGGAAACAGTTATTTTTTTATTCATACATAAAGAAGAAGAATTCTGTTGCACAAAATTCCCCAGGATTTTAATCTTCTGTTCTGTCAAAGCCACCAATACCTCAATTTTTCTTCTTCCAGAAAGCACATGGAGGTTTTAAAAGCACAATTTGTAGCAGTACCAAAATGCTGTTGAAGTATCTGTGGTGACTGTACTTCTCTTACAATGGTAACACAGCTAATACACAGCAAGCATTTTAATTACTTAGGAAAGAAAAAATGTTTACCTCTGATAAAGCATTCTGAAAGTGCTGTCTTTATTGAAGGCTTGATTGTCAGAGTGCATAGCAATTCTTTCTGGTATCCAACCTGTCAGTGCATGAAGATCAATATTCTGAAATGAAAGTATTCAAAAGAAATCAGAACAGATAATCCATATATAAACATATGATGTCTGTACACAGCTTATAAAATGCCTTGGAAGGAATCAAGTACACAGAAGTTACAATACAGCTCTGCACATAAAAGGGTCAAGATTAAGACTAACAAACAAAAATTCTTTGATTAGACAAGGACATCATTTCCAAGTAACTTAAAAAAAAAAAAATCAACAAACAAGCTGAAAAGTGAACAGATGAAATTCCAGAACAATGGAAGCATATCAGAATCATCAGTCATGTTCAACTGTGTGATGTGTTCTATTTATTTCATTGATTTACAGATTTGGAAAACATATCTCAGAAGCACTGTTTGGTACCTTGCTATTAGATATGCATTTTAAATAATTTATGGGGTTTTTTTCTAAAGCTCAGGGTTTGGGTT